TGTACAACATTGTGGCAGAGAAGAACTAAGCACATACAACATTGGTCAAAAAGGTTGTCCCACCTATAGTACCAATCCCCAAATAATCTGGACCAATTCCGCCAAGCTTTTTAGGCAGAAAGGGTCAATATCACACAAAACAGAATTTTAACCCTTGTTAAAGGCTTGTCGTGCCTACCGTAGATAATTGCAGTGCACAGTAGACACACACGCTATCAGACACGTGACCTTTAACGAGCGCATCCTACTGCTAATTTTGTGTTGATTTGGCGATATTTGGTGGCGTCTTTTCAATTTTATGGACAATTCATTATCTCTGTTGAAATCACTGCGAAACAGTGGATTTGAGGGGGTGCATGGTTTAAATGCGAATAAATGGTATAAAATATGGATATTTTCACCACTATTTGTATTTTTTAACCATAATTTATCATGCTAGATATGGTATAAAAAACTGGAATAAAAAGCGCTGCTAATAAGCTAATAACAATTTACACCTGTGAGGTGACCATTTGTAAATAAAAGCACATGGGATTGGGGGTGGGACAACCTTTTTGACCAATGTTGTATGGGATAGAAACCTCGGCATTTTTTCTGGGGCAGATAAAGAGTGGGGCCCCAAAAACATTGAGTTTTACAGTGGAGTAATGGAAAACGTGTCATGTAACCAGCATCATCGCATAAAAAACGATCAAATTGGCAGAGGATTGAATGGTGCATGTATCTGCGTTTTTCTCGTGATGTGCAATTCGATCGCCTGCTTCAATATGACACCAAAATACACAGGGAAAGGATTTTTAAAGTTTGGATGGAGGGAAAATCGACCATGGTTGCCATGGGCAGGGCAAGAGAAATGGTCACCATTCTTGGTCCAATTTACGGTGAAATACCCCCTTTTATGACTACCTTTTTTTTCATCTTAAGCGGCTTTTTGCCGATCCACATTCCTCCAAACGCTTCATTTTCACTCGGGTTAAACCCCATTATCACACCTGAAAACCCACTGCATTCTGCAATTAAAATAATAAATGTTTTATATTTCACACCATAAAAGGAAATGCAAGAAAAAAGACCCTTTTCTCCAAAAACGGCCTTGGACGTAGTGTAAGCAACATGAGCGCGGAAAGCATTGTAAGTTTAGTTTACCTACAAATTTCTCCTGCAACTCAGCAATAAACGATATTTCTGGGCTGGATTCAAAAAGAGTCCTTACAACCTCTTGGCTGAGATTCCACGACTCTTTCTCTGTCAAACGGGTAACTTCAGACGAGTCTTCAGGGTTCATATGTTTCTCCCTAGTGTCTTGTAGGCCTTATGGTACGTAACGCACCACATTACTGCAGTGTGTATGTATTGCAGTTTTTGTTTTCCCTCAGACAGAATATTAAGACTGACAGAATTGCAAAATTGGTCATACCATAAAAAGTCTCTGTCTGGCTAACGTCAATGGCGCTCATATTTGTGTAATACATTATCGCTTAAAGATGTTGCCACACCTTCAAAAATGCCTAATTTATGTTTTAAAATGCGACTCTCTATAGTTCTGAGATAGATTAATTAATTAATTAATTAAACGTCCCATCTCTAGACATACAATCAACACAGGCAAATCAAATCTGTGATGATTTATTTAATGTTTATTAACATGTCACCCCAAATTGGGTTGTTCTGAATACAGGCCCTACTTAAAAATTAATATTGATACAAGTTTTTAAAATGTACACGCATTTATTTGAAAACACATCTATACTATCTATATCCACACTGAAGTAGTTCACGCAAGTGTCAAATATCATGCCTGCAGCTTTGCTGCAATTATTCTACTAGATTTCCTTTTTCCTCTAGATACATTTTGCAATATGAGACCGTTCCGGGTGTTGGCAATACGCGTTTTACCTGTAAAATGGCCAGGGCTACATTACCAGTGGCAGCTCCCCTATGGAGAATTCATAGTTCATCTGGATTCCCTAAGATTTCTGGCAATTTCTGATTTAGGGAGCCTTCATTATGGAACGCTAACATCTCGTCCCTTAAGCATACATCCGCCGCCCCTCGCATACTCAAAGCTTTGGCAGGGAAAAGGTGTGGCTTCAACTACTTCAAACTTCTGCTCAATATTGCACGCTGTTATTGCCCAAAATGAGACATTTATTTGCAAATCCTTAACTACTATCCACCGTCACGCGCCCACCCTTTGATCAATGTTATGTTCAGATGTTCAGATGTTAGGCCTTTTTTTAGCAATAGTGTATATAAATATAACCCTATTACTTTGTTCTGTTTAATACTAAATGTATAGCACCCTGTAATGGGGAGAGAAATTAACAGAAATTAAAAAACGATTGTGCAGTGTCATATACGAAAACGATTATTATTTTTTTCAACATACAAATACGGCATAACCCTTATAATTGATATTCATAATTATTTCCATGATTATCTCTTCAATTTATTAGAGGAACAGTCCACATCTGGGACACATTTTACGAAATTCAATGAACCTAACATTGTTCTAGCACGGACAGCAAAGAATCCCAGCCGACGAAGTTTTTAGAATAAAGTAATTTTTCTATAGTCAACAGCTAAATATTGAAATTGTTTACCTCCAATATTTCGATGTCTGTCGGAGCATCTTTATCAGGGAATGAGGCTATACAGATAAAAACATGTAGTAATATGCCCCAATGGCAGATTGATGCCGTCTTCTGTGTCTTCCGGAAGACGATCTGATTTTCAATTTTACATAATATCTGTTCCCCCCCCTCCCCGAACCCCCACCCCCCCGTTTATACCCACCTTCAACAAGTAAGATTATTTTCATGTGTATCAAACACAGTCACGAAATCTAGGATTATGGTGAATTACACATTGTTTCCTATATTCATGACTTTGCTATTGAATGATCATCAAAAGATAAAAACACATCATTTGATGTAATTTTCCTAATTTTACAGAGATAGATTACACACACACATACACACACACACACACACACATACACACACACCCACACTGCCTAGGCAGATTCAAAATCCGTTTAGACAACATTAAATTTTTAATCTTGCTTAAGTAGGTTTAGTTGCCACACCTTCAAAGATGTCAGAATTATGTTATAAAAAGTGACTCTTTATAGTCCTGAGATATAATAATTAATTAAATATCTCCAGGCTGACTTGGAATCGATCTTATTTTGGTAGTGTAATAGGGTTACATAGTATTACGTAAAGTATTCCCGCCCTTTTGACAGTCGCATGAGCTCAATACTATTCTTTGTAAGTCACGTGTCACGTCTTTTGGCAGTCACGTGAGCGGGAAGTATAAAGTCCCCGCTCAGCAGTATTCTTTGTCATTTTATTCGCAATGCCACGTTAGTAGGTATGTACAGGTATTCAGGAATAAAGAAGCTGATCCTTCTGAAATACAGTCGAGTTTTGTTATGTGTTGCTCGGGTACAGTAGTAACCCACTAATTGATCAGTAATAAGAATTGAACCTTGGTAGAGGTCTGCTTTCCCACTTCTCTGTACAGCTTTATATAAGACATTTCCTTGTACATATGTAATAAAGTTATTATTGAAAAGTTGGCATATGATATATATATTTATATATATATATATATATATATATATATATATATATATATATATTTGTTTGTTTTTAATGTTTTAAGGTCTCTCAATATCCAAAAATTCAAATGATTTCAAATGCCAAAAATTTAGTGTTACCAAACCTTTATCATTCGACCTATGATTGATAGTAAAATCATCACCATTGTTGTGGCATATATATATATATATATATATATATATATATATATATATATATATATGTCACAGGTCAGATCCCAATCTAGTCCACTTACTAACTGGCCAAGACCCCATCCCCCATCTATATTTCAATCTCACAGTATATGCCTTAATATATGACATCCCCTATTTAATTACACATGCCATATAAACAAACTGGCAGCTCACCTGTAAATTACTTGGCCAATTAACATGACAATTATGATGCTAACAATGCAAACACCCAATTGGGATGTGGTCTAGGCCAGTTAGTAAGTGGACTAGATTGGGATCTGGACTAGGTAGAATTGAAATCCATCTAAACCAGATTCATATCTTGATTTCGATTACGCAAATTGAAAATCAGAGTACTGGGTAGATATATCGCTTAAAACTAATATGTCATCAATTTGTATGCAGGTGTTGTCTATATATATATGCACCGAAAGAAATAGGTCTCAATTGTGCAATTAAACAATAAAGTAACTATGCCACGTCAATGAAGCAAATAATGATGCACAAAATAAGTTATTTTACATGATGCAATTTTACATGATACTTAACAGCAAAACCAACACCAATTTTAATAATGCACAACAGGTAACACAGACATAGTCCTAGTGAAATGACATAAAATTGTATTTTATGCCACTAAGGTTGGTAAATAGGTATATTAGTAAGCGAAAATGTTCTTTTAAGATGTTCTTTAAGATGTTCTTAAAAGATGTTCTTAAACTTAGTTTCCTTAACTATTGGGGGATGTAGAACATGTTTTTAGTGTCAGAAAAAGATGGAAAAGGTCAAAGTCAGTAAAAGTTTATGTTTTGGATATGATTCAAGTATGCGTAACTCATATAGTATTTTTGATAATTTTAGTTGAAAGCAAGTCTCTTAGAGATTACCTAATATAGAAATGTTGCATGGTGCTTTGCAACATGAGAATGGAAAATTCCTTGTAATGACGTAAAGACGACGAAAAGAACATAATTACACGCGTGATCAATACTGAGAATTAGAATATAAATCATTGTGAAATTGTATGAAAAAGGCCTAATAAGGAATTATTGCATGGTGGTTTGCAACATGAGAATGGAAAATTCCTTGTAATAACGTAAAGACGACGAAAAGAACATTATTACACGCGTGATCAATAATGAGAATTAGAATATAAATACTTGTGAAATTGTATGAAAAAGGCAGTCGGTGAATAAATGTAAGAAAGCTCCAGATCGTCGTTATTTTTCACTATAACAACTTGGTATGTAAATCAGAGAAATATTGGAGGTAAATACTGTTTTAATATTAAGCTGTTGACTGAAGAAAAATTGAGTTCATTCGTGTCTGTGACTTGGAATTTCAACCTCGACTATTTCCATTTCGTTGACTATACAGTAGGTACGAGGAACAAAAATCCACCATGTCGACAGCCACGATAAGACTTATGCAGCCTGAAGACGTGGCCGAAGTAAGTCGTTTGACAGAGACGGTGTCGTGGAATTTCGGCCAGGAGGTTATTGGGGCTCTCTTTGAATCCAGCCCAGAAGGATCGTTTATTGCTGAGTTGCAAGGGAAAGTTATAGGTAAACAAAACTGAAATCAATTGCGTTCCGCCGCCATGTCTTTAAAGCCACGCCTAAGTTTTCTTTCCTTTTAAATAATGTGTGAAATGTTAATTGGATCACATTAGACTATTTTCTAATATTGATGAAAATAATTTTTAAAAAATGCAGAGTGGTCTCTTATGGTTTACAGGTGTTGTAATGGGATTTAACCTGAGTGAAGAGGAAGCCTTTGCAGGAATATGGGTCGTCAGTAAGATGCACCGCGGGCAGCGTATTGGTAAGAAAGCATCTGTAATGTAATTGTGATGGTTGAGCATGAATGCTAGATTTGGGGGGAGAGGGTGAGAATACGATACAGGAGTTTCTGTGAAGAATCGCTCGTCTAAATGTATAGTGCCCTCAAACCATTCAAGTACTTTATTATAAAGTGTTTTAGAGAGGTGACAGTCGTTAAGTAGTCTGCACATCTATCAGGAGTGGAAATATTTGATCCACGCTACCTCATAACGTCATTATTTGGTCTGACACGTATTTAGTTGCACATTTTGTTTGAATTTGTTTATCTCTATACACATTTCTTTCTCTTATATTTGTGTGTGGTCTTCTTTCTTCTTTTGTGAGGAATGTAATTTGTAATGCCATAAATTACTAGCCACCTTTTCTTTGTTATGAAATACGGTTTTATATCGGCCTGCAGTGAGCCATATGCTCGTAAATTCTCATATACATGTACAATACAGTTGGTCTTAATCACCTCACTGTATTTCAATACCGACTGTAAATTATAATGGTTTTACTCTGGAACTTAGAATATATAACTCCCGTGGATTTTGATTGAATAGGTTCATAATTGTGGTAGAAAAGAAGAGTGCACTGATTTCACAGTATTTGGTTATTACACAGACTACATAATGATTGTAAGACGCCTTCATATGTCATATTTTTAATTCCAGACTTATGAGATGTGTTTTAAATTGCCATCACTTACGGTCTACTTGTACTGCGTGGGTTTAATGGTATATAGAATATACCTGCCATCTGATTTGAACTTTTAAAGTAAAGAAATAAAAAAATTTAAGTAAATGTGCCATGTAGCACTAATGGAGATATACAACATTGGTCAAAAAGGTTGTCCCACCCCCATTTCCATGTACTTTTATTTACAAATGATCACTTCACAGCTGTAAATTGTTAGAAATAGTGCTTTTTATTCCAAATACCATGTCTAACATGATTAATGGTTAAAAAAAATACAAAATAGTGGTGAAAATATACACATTTTATACCATTTAGTCAAATTTATAACAGGTACCCCCTCAACTCCAATGTTTCACTGTGATTTCTACAGATGTAAAGAAATGTCTATTAAATTAAAAAGACGCCTTCAAATGTCACCAAATTTACACACAATTAGCATTAGGATGTGCTCGTTAAAGATCACGTGGCTAATAGCGAGTGCGTCTACCGCGTACTGCAATTATCTCCTGTAGATGGCGCGACAAGCCTTCAACAAGTGTAAAAATTCTGTTTCGTGGGATATTATTCCATTCTTCCTAAACAGCTTGGGGGAGTTGGTCCACGATTTTATGGGGTTGGTTGTCCTCTGCATTTCACACTCCAATTCATGTCACAGGTGATTAGTAAGGTTAATATCAGGGCTCAAAGATGGTGGTTCCATCCTAAGAACATTGTGTTTCTAAAACAAATCACTTGCCAGGTGAGAAGTGTGAGCAAGTGTGCTGTTATGATGAAGCCTGGAGTTAACCCAATGCCAGTTCTTGAAGATGGAGTGAGACATCAGCTGAGAATGCTACGTTCAGTGATCCCATAGGGACCTAAACCTGGCCATCCATCACTGGAAGGAAGTCGGTTTTGCTGCAGAATTAACTTATTTCTTGTATCTCATCGATGGTCAAAGGAGGGTCCATAGACATGTTGAAAATGCCTCTTGGAAGGGTGTGCACAGGATAATATCGCCTGAGGTGTTAGATCACTCGGCATTTAGGGAACATTCCAAGCCCGTGGTATTAGTACATTATTCCTTCTGGAACAAAACGTAACTGGGGCATTTTACGGTGACACTCTCGACATATAGCTCACTCCATTTGCAAAAGGTGACTTCAGGGATGCTACCGGCTTCATTGTGACAACGCACTTGCTCACAGCTCTTGTCTGGCAAGTGATTTGTTGCAGAAACACAGGACTCTAAGGATGGGACAACCGTCTTTGAGCCCTGATACTAATCCTATTGAGCACCTGTGGCATTAATTTGAATGTGCATTGCAGAGGAGAATCAATTCCGAAATAATCTGGACCAATTCCACCACGCTCTTTAGGATGGATGGGTCAATATCCTACAAAACAGAATTATTACCCTTGTTGAAGGCTTGTCGCGCCATCTACAGGAGATAATTGCAGTACGCAGTAGACGCACACGCTATTAGGCACGTGACTTTTAACGAGCACATCCTAACGCTAATTGTGTGTAAAATTGGTGACATTGATGGCGTCTTTTCAATTTAATAGACACTTCTTCACATCTGTGGAAATCACAGTGAAACATTGGATTTGAGGGGGTACCTGTTATAAATTTGACTAATTGGTATAAAATGTGCATAATTACACCACTATTTTGTATTTTTTGAACCATTAATCATGTTAGACATGGTATCTAGAAAAACAAAGCACCGTTTATAACAATATACACCTGTAAGGTGATCATTTGTAAATAAAAGTACATGGTAATGGGGGTGGGACAGCCTTTTTGACCAATGCTGTATAAAAAATCACCCAACTTTTGAAAACTGAAACCAATCTGTAACCCTTAAAAATAAAATAGAGACAATATTTTTATTTAGCTTTCGTTAATTTTGATGGAATAGGTACAAGGTTGTGGCAGAAGATGAAAGAGTACATTGGGGATAGGAACCTTGGTATATTCTCTGTGGCAGAAAGAGTGGAGCCCAACAAAAGATTGGGTTTTACAGTGGCATCATGGAATGTACGCCATGTATCCGGTACCATCGCAACAGAAAAGATAAAGTTGTCAGAAGATTGTATAGTATCTGCGTTTCCTTCACAAGGCGTGCAGTTTGATGCCCTGATTCAATATGACACCAAAATACACTCCATTGAACGTGAAAGGTTTCTAAGAGCTTGGATTGAGGGGAAATCGACCATAACCTTGGTTGCTCTAGGCCGGGCAGGAGAAATCGTGGGTTACGGTGTCATAAAGCGTGATTCCAACAATACTACCCTTATTGGCCCACTTTATGGTGAAACTCCCACCATTATGAAAACCTTACTGGTCAGCTTAATCGGCAAGACTACTTTTGGTGAAACTGTGGACATGTGGGCACCTGCTGAGAGTGAGGTTATGCAAGAATTACTGACTGAGAATAAAAGTACACTTTCAGAAGTTCATGCAGAAGTGACCCGGATGTTTTACCGTCATGACGTGAAGGCTCCACAGGAAAAGATATTTGCAATTGCGTCAGCAGCAGTGGCTCATCATTGTTGAAATTCAGTGATGACAAATTGAGTCAACCCATTAGTGATGCCATGGAAAATAACTAATTAGATTTTACAGAAGGGAGGAATGAGGTCAGATGGAAAATGAGTAAACTGTTAAGCAATTTTTCTCGAAATACAAATTAGTCAGCTGAGGTTTTTGACTTTCGTCTTCTTACGTTTTGTGGAATGGGTCGGGGGAGGGGTGGATTATTTATCATTGAATAAAAGGAAACATCATGGCAAACTCACGAAGAAGAAGAAGAATTTAGTTTGTTTTTAAAAGGTTTTAAAAAGAATTTTTGTTCAAGTAGTGCAAGAAGTACACAAACATTGAATAAATTGGCAAAATGTGAAAATGTTCATAATTTTGCAAGCATAAAGATGGAACGTGTAAATTTAGACCCCAGTACTATGAAGAGTAACTTTTTAAAACATACTGACTTTTAACTTTCTAATTCAACGTTAACTTTAAATTTCGTCCGTTAATGTGGTTAGACTCTGAGATATGAAACCTCAATTTTTGTGATAATTTATGAAGAAAATATGTTGTGTGAGCTTTTAATAAATATATTTATGTCAGTATACATGTTCTAGTATTATATTAAGGTATCATTTGGCATCCAAAGCCTGAAAAATTAGAGGATCGTTGCATAAGTAAATTATTCCCGGTGTTAAGCACACTCATTGGCATGGCAATAAAGATGTCTTTGAAAAGTATATTGAACAGTGGTTGGATTAGAGCTGTCTTGCACATGACCAGTGACTGCTGCCACCTATTGCCAAGAAGTCTTTGGGCCCCTTTAGGAATTGAAATAAGCAACACTTTTACATTGTTTGAAATTAAGTAATTTATTGTGAGATGTTGGTACAAACATGTTGGGTTTTAGGTTAATTAAAGCAACAGTACTTCCCAATAAGTCCTTCATGTATACTCAAACAAATTTGATATTTTATTTTGAAATTGTTGTAATTTCTAGTCAGCATCAATTCATTTAGACATTTTCAATATCTTTTATCCCATTAATTCAATATTAATTCAATATTTTAAAGGGACAAAAAATAGGATTAAAAACGCCTTTTTAGTGCATGGATTGCTTCTTATTTAACTTATCTGAGAACAATTGCTATGGGTAAAGCATAAAATGGCAGGTAAATGGCCTTAATCAATATCGAAAAAAAGAATCATANTTTTAAGTTGTTGCTTTAATTTTTCATTTTGGTGCATATGATTGTACCAAAAAAATTTAATATAATATTATATTGGACAAATTATGCATATGATTATAAATGTTATGTTATTTATATTTATGTTATTTCTCTTTGTGCAATAAGAGCGCAGGATTTGAAAATAAAACTGCAAGACTAGCAATTTAATTTTCCTTGCTTAGATTTTCTTAAGTAGGTTCTTTAAGGGAATTATCTTTCATGCATTCTGTGTATTCTGTGTTTCAGAACTGACACTTGAAAGGCTTAAGCTTCTCCATCTTCAAATCTTATTACGTGATTTAATTTTTACAACAAAAATATAGTAAAAAAATCTTATAATAAATAAGATGGAAAATTCTTTAAAAATGTTGATGTTCTCACTAACGTTCCTAGAATATATTCTGAAATGCATTGTCACTAGATAGAATGATGGATTATGGGAGCTCACGCATATATATATATATATATAATAAAAAGAAAAATATATAATAAAAAGATATATATATATTTTTTGAAGATGTAAGGAGGTTGTGATTTTGCCTTTGTTGGTATATATATTTGTTTGTTTAAGTTTTAATGTCTCTCGATATCCCAAAATTCAAATGTTTTCAAATGCCAAGAAATGATTGTTGCCCAACCTCAATCATTTGGCCTATGCTCGATAGTTAAATCTCTCGTCAGCATTGTTGTGGTAGTTTTTTATATTGGAAGTTTAGTGAAATGTCTTTGTTCAACGGTCAAATAGGTCTACCTTCTAAACGTTTATAAATACGTTTCTTTTGCTGTGGCGTTTTTTTTTTTTTCATTCCTGGGACTCGTTTCATAAAACAAAGTCAAAAATAAGTCCCTGCAAAGAATCTTAGCTTGGTTGAATTTGACAACAGTTGTTACTTTGACTAAATTACCTACATAAGTAAGTAAGTAACAATGTATAACCCTACTATACGATTTTACTTGCCATTCAATAAGAGCAATAATCTATGGTTAAGAACATCTGAAAACAATTTTGCTCATTAATATACCCCATTTACCAACCTGAGTCGAATTCCCTGACTATACAATTTATTTGCCATTTTACAAAGACGTCAGAAAAACCTCACTGAATCAAATGTTTTGTAACTGAATGTCAACAATGACTGCCATTTGGTGACGCAATCGCCAAAATCTTTTCCAGCGGAGCCTTCAGGTCATGGTGGAAAAACATCCGAGTACATTCGTCATCAACTTTAAGTGTGCATTTGTTCTGAATCAGTAATTCTTGCAAAATCTCATTCTCAACGGGCACATGCGTGTTAATAATTTCACCAAAAGTAGTCTTGCCGATTCAGCTGACAAGTAAGGTTTTCATAATGGAGGGAGTTCCACACTAAACTGGACCAAGATTAGTATAGTTGGAATCGCGCTTAATGGCGCCGTACCCGATGATTTCTCCTGTCCTGCCAATAACAACCAAAGTAATGGTCGATTTATCTTCAATCCAAGCTCTTAGAAATCTTTCACGCTCAATTGTGTGTATTTTGATGTCATATTGAAGCAGGCGGTCGAATTGCACATCACGTGAAGGAAACATAGATAACATACAATTTTCTGCCAACTTTAGCTTTTCTGTTGCGACGATGCCGGATACATTTCCATGATTCCACTGTAAATCCTAATCTTTTGTTAGGCCGAACTCTTTCTGCCACAGAGAATATGCAGAGGTTTCTTTCTCCAATGTTTTTTTTTTCTTTTGTGCCACAATCTTGTACCTATTCAATCAAAATGAACATAATGTAAGTAAACGAGGGATGATTAGTATTATATTTATTACATTCTCCACGAAAGAATGATTGACTTACATAAACTCTAGAGAAACACAAAATATCTTCGGTTACAAACGCATTCAAGCCTAGGTGAGCTATATGTGCACGTCATGTAAGAATAATCCTTTTGTAACAGCGTGCAGCTAATTACATCTCTGCTCCTCATATATTACGTGTAGATTCTAACTCTGCATAGACAGTTTGAACGACTGTCACCTTTCCCTCATCACATCTTTATAAAAATATCTAAAAGTGGGGTGAAGTAATTTCTTGAAATTCTTCTTAGACCGTTTAGGCCGGTGACTTGACACGGAAAATTCCTTACCAATACGCTGCCCACGCCACGACTCACTAACGATCCACATTCCTCCAAAAGCTTCATTTTCACTCAGGTAAAACCCCATTATAACACCTAAAAAACCTACAATAGAGCATTCCCAATTAATAAAAAAAATTTTCACACTTAAGTAAAATGCACAAAAAAAAAAAAACTTTTCTCCAAAATCGGCCTTGAACGTAGTTATACATGTAGTTAACATGAGCGCGGAGAGCAATGCAAGTTTACTTTACCTATAACTTTCCCCTGTAGCTGAGCAATAAACGATCATTCTGGGCTGGATTCAAAGAGAGTCCTAACAATCTCCTGGCGGTAATTCCACGTCACCATCTCTGTCAAAAAAGATAATTTACTTCATCCAGGTCTTCAGGTCGCATATGTCTTATCGTAGCTGTCACCATGGTGGGATATTTCTTCCGAGTGCCTTGCAGGTCTTGTTGGTACGTCATAACTACAGTGTATATGTATAAAATTGCAGTTTTAGTCTTTTTGCAGACAGAATAAGGTCACCAAGATTTAAGGAATTGCAAAATGGACTAGCCCTGTCAGGTCAGAGGCGCTCACATACATGTGTAATACATTGTCGCTTATAGATGTTGTCACAGCTTGTAGGCCTAATGGTACGTAACCAACAGCGTTACTGCACTGTATAGAATTGTTTTTTTTACTCAGACAGAATAAGGTCATTTAATGACCTTAAGAGACTAAAAAAATTGCAAAATTGGTCATACCATAAAAAGTGTCTGTCTGGATCACGTCAATGGCGCTCACATTTAAGAAATACGTTTAAAGATGTTGCCACACCTTCAAAAATGTCAGAATTATGTTATAAAAAGTGACTCTTTATAATCCTGAGATAGAATAATTAATTAGATGTCCCTCCTCTAATCATGCAATTCATATCGCAGTTCATCTGGATACCTTTAGCCTTCTGGCAATTTCCGATTGCTTGAGGTCTTCATCATGAAAGGCTAATATCTAGGCCCGCCCCTCACATACTCAAAGCTGGTAAAGGTGTGGTGTCAGTTACTCCAAACTTCTGCTCAATATTTCACGGTGTTATAGCCCAAAAAAGGAGACGTGTATCTGCATACCCTTATCTCTCTTAGGAGCCACTCTCCATTGGCAGGTGCTTGACCAAGGTAACATGAAATGTTCAGATACCGTGGGTGTGACAACCCTTTTAATCAACAGTGTATATAAACGTAACCCTATTACCTTGTTCTGTTTGATACAATACAATAGTACCCTGCACTGGGGAGAGAAATCAACAGACATTAAAAAGCGATTGTGCAGTATCCTCTGACACGATCTTGTACAAAAGAAATGTAGACGGAGATGTATACCTACTTGTATCTTTGCTTGTACGGCCTACCTATTCAATGAAATTTCACAGACGTTATGCCCTCAGCTCCTCAGTAAAATTATTATAAAGCAATTCCGCGAAGAAGGTACCAATTCCAAAAAATACCAGTTTATTTTTGGTCATAAAAGTGTCTGAAAATCTGCTTTTCTATCCTTTTACAGCTGAATGCAATGTGTTCTACATGAAAAATAACATTAGATATTGTAGCACTCGCTTTAACAGGAACTTTGAGGGCCTATGTGCCACAAATGCAAGATTTTACGTGTCGCTTCAGTATTATAGCTGATTTGCAACATAAAAAATCACACATTTTCAAGCTTTTAGTTTTTTTGCCCTCGATAAATTTGCATTTATGTGTCTTTTATTCATATATGGTGTTTTTGTCGAATCTGTCGGTTAATTACGACACCGTAGTAGGTTAATCACAGTCGCTCAGTACCCCGAACCTCAGTTAAGCTTTATTAAGTAAGCGTAATAATAGATAAAAATGCTCATAAATCCCCCCCCCTCCCCGGTACATTTTTAAAACTCATAATACATCTTCTTCAGGAAAACTGTGCTATTTGTACATTTTAAATAATGCGTTCCACCATATAAAATGCTTACACAAAAAAGTTGAGGCATTATATTTCAGAGTCTAATATCATTAACGGACGAAATTTGAATACCTTGGTAAGGGGTGGGAGTATAAAGCTTTTAATACTTTTAAAAATAGTCCAGTATCTGCAACATGCAAAAGGCTGTTTATTCTATCAATGTTGCTGTCTAAAGGTCAATAACTTGAAAAACGGAAACTCAGTCATCTTTAAAGTTAACCTTTATTCGTTCACGCATTACGTAGATGTAATACAGCACATACAAGTAGTTGTAGTGGTGATGGTAGTGGTAGTGGTGAAATGATCAAAAACTGAAATACAATAAATGTACATACAAATGAAAATAAAAGAATGGTGAGAGAGAGAGAACAACAGGTACACGCATATAGCGACAATGTAAATAAAACTAGAAAAGCTCTCCGAGAGCACAGACCTCCGCCAAGGCAGCAAAGCCTCCACCCAATGCCGTTTCACCCCTAAATTTTCATTCTATAATGATTTAGTTTTTTGGTTTTTGATTATTGATTGATTATTGGTTGATTACTGATTGATCCGGATCACCACCAAAAACTAATCATCTGTTCCTTGGCCCACTTATGACAGTTCCTGAAAATTTTATCAAAATCGGTGCAGGATAATGTACATGTCAACTAAATATCGATATAAAAAAGATGAATTTAATACAAATACCACCTGACTTAATTAACTACAAATAGGTGATGACGGTTTACCAACATTTCTGTATCGAAATAAATCATCAACTAAACGTACATACCCAAAGCGTTCTAGATATCTTACCTTATTACAGTCTGAGAAGAACAAACCGACCGCACCCAGAACCGGGATACGCCCGCTTTTATAGAGAACGTTGACAAAAACTACTCAAATATACAAAAATATATTGCTGTGACATTGCGTTACATGTGACAGCATGATTGATTTGTCGATGTCGACAACAATCAAAATGCAAGGTACCATAAGCTTAAACTGTTTTTTTTTTATTATTAATTTGCTTTTGCTATTTACAGTCACTTTGGCACAAAGAAACATTATGCAAAGAGTATAATTTATGAAGAAAATATGTTGCGTGCGCTTTAAAAGGTTCAATATATTTAAGTAATTACATGTATGTGTTATTCCAGTATTTTATTAAAAAGTCATTTGGTCTCCAAACCCTAAAAAAAGAGAATCACTGCATAAGTATGTTATTCCTGGTGTTAAGCACACTCATTGACATAGCAATAAGGATGTCTTTGAAAAGTGTGTTTAACAGTGGTTGGATTTAGTCTATGATCCAAAAATGAATAAGGGCCTTATTTGGGGCCCTTATTTGGCTGCACCCCCGACAGGCCAGGGTTTTTTTAATTGATTCTTGTAGTTAAGAACCGGAATTTTTCATTTCTGCCAGTTTCCGGTGTCACGTATACGGTCCGTTCTGCGTGAACCATTCGTCCTGACCGCTTGTACACGCAGCNAAAACTCATAATACATCTTCTTCAGGAAAACTGTGCTATTTGTACATTTTAAATAATGCGTTCCACCATATAAAATGCTTACACAAAAAAGTTGAGGCATTATATTTCAGAGTCTAATATCATTAACGGACGAAATTTGAATACCTTGGTAAGGGGTGGGAGTATAAAGCTTTTAATACTTTTAAAAATAGTCCAGTATCTGCAACATGCAAAAGGCTGTTTATTCTATCAATGTTGCTGTCTAAAGGTCAATAACTTGAAAAACGGAAACTCAGTCATCTTTAAAGTTAACCTTTATTCGTTCACGCATTACGTAGATGTAATACAGCACATACAAGTAGTTGTAGTGGTGATGGTAGTGGTAGTGGTGAAATGATCAAAAACTGAAATACAATAAATGTACATACAAATGAAAATAAAAGAATGGTGAGAGAGAGAGAACAACAGGTACACGCATATAGCGACAATGTAAATAAAACTAGAAAAGCACTCCGAGAGCACAGACCTCCGCCAAGGCAGCAAAGCCTCCACCCAATGCCGTTTCACCCCTAAATTTTCATTCTATAATGATTTAGTTTTTTGGTTTTTGATTATTGATTATTGATTGATTATTGGTTGATTACTGATTGATCTGGATCACCACCAAAAACTAATCATCTGTTCCTTGGCCCACTTCTGACAGTTCCTGAAAATTTCATCAAAATCGGTCCATAACTTAGTTTTTTGATTTGTGATTATTGATTATTGATTGATTATTGATCCAGATCACCACCAAAAACCAATCACTTCTAAGTTAACCCATTTTTGACCTACCCTGAAAATCCCGTCGAAATTCATCTATAACTTTTTTAGTTATGTTGATTACAAACAGACAGACAAACAAACAAACAGGGGGAAAACATAACCTCCTTGGCGGAGGTAACTATGCAACTTAGATATCGTATAGCTATAGTAGCTTATACTCACTCAACATTCCGCAACTTTAAAGCATACATGCACAGCACCATGACGACCGGGAAAAACAGAATCGTCTAAAAGGATAATGTACATGTCAACTAAATATCGATATAAAAAAGATGACTTTAATACAAATACCACCTGACTTAATTAACTACAAATAGGTGATGACGGTTTACCAAAATTTCTGTATCGAAATAAATCATCAACTAAACGTACATACCCAAAGCGTTCTAGATATCTTACCTTATTAAAGTCTGAGAAGAACAAACTGACCGCACCCAGAACCGGGATACGCCCGCTAGAGAACGCTGACAAAAACTACTCAAATATACAAAAAATATTGCTGTGACATTGCGTTAGATGTGACAGCATGATTGCTTTGTCGATGTCGACAACAATCAAAATGCAAGGTACCATAAGCTTAAACTGTTTTTTTTTTATTATTAATTTGCTTTTGCTATTTACAGTCACTTTGGCACAAAGAAACATTATGCAAAGAGTATAATTTATGAAGAAAATATGTTGCGTGCGCTTTAAAAGGTTCAATATATTTAAGTAATTACATGTATGTGTTATTCCAGTATTTTATTAAAAAGTCATTTGGTCTCCAAACCCTAAAAAAAGAGAATCACTGCATAAGTATGTTATTCCTGGTGTTAAGCACACTCATTGACATAGCAATAAGGATGTCTTTGAAAAGTGTGTTTAACAGTGGTTGGATTTAGTCTATGATCCAAAAATGAATAAGGGCCTTATTTGGGGCCCTTATTTGGCTGCACCCCCGACAGGCCAGGGTTTTTTTAATTGATTCTTGTAGTTAAGAACCGGAATTTTTCATTTCTGCCAGTTTCCGGTGTCACGTATACGGTCCGTTCTGCGTGAACCATTCGTCCTGACCGCTTGTACACGCAGCAGACACGTGTATGAGCCGTCCCGTGAAAGATTCGCTGTTATTCACCTGTACTGTTATATTCGGCTAGTTCATTTCCTACCTCATTATACATTTACTTACTGTGATGGGAATGTTTCTAGGTAAAATTTATGTGTTAATTGATAATTTTGATAGAGAATATTTTAATCAGCGTCAAACTACAGTTCGACGCATGGATGAACCTACCGTGGACAAGTCGTCGTTATTCAGCTAATGGCCTACTATTTTAGTATTGATTTTACAAGGATAGTGTGTTGATATGGCCACCTGAGGGAAATCGCAGTAGAGGTGAACAACTAAAAGGTATAATTACTAGTACTTCTAAAAATTATGTTTATATTTGCAGTATGTTCTCAAAAGCGCATGTTTATTAAAGGCTTGGAATGTATTGATAACTCGCTAGAGACGTACTGTACACGCCGGAAGTCTCTCAGATTTGCCTACGCTTTGTGCGCATGAGCAGAACGGATGGTTCACACTCCGAGCGATACACGCCACCCCGGCTTGAAAAAGTGTCCGTTTGTACCGGAAACACGCCAAATCTAAGATGGCCGCCAATAAATACATGTCATATGTAAAAACAAAAATTGACTTTAAAGTTACTTAACAACTAAATATTATCAAAATTTGCGCTGATCACAAGTACAATCAAATATACTGCGGATCTATCATAAATGAAAACTTTTGAACTATCAGAACTGAGATCCAATGAAACTATTTTCACATGATACCCCAGTGTACTACTTAAACAAAAAATCTTAAAACTTTTAAAACTGTTTTTATTATTATTATTATTGTTATTATTATTATTATTATTGCAACATACAAATTGCTCAATTGCAATTACTCATAAACGTTGACAAACAAAATTCTCTTTTTTTGCCATGATGTTTCCTTTTATTCATGAATGATTTATCCCCTCCTGGGACCCGTTCCATACAACGTATAAAATCGAAAGTCAAGAATCTCAGCTAATTTGCATTTTGGAAAAAAACGCTTACTAATTTACCCATTATTCATCTCAACTCATTTCTCCCCTTCTGCAAAATCGTTTTTATTATTTCACATGGCATAACTAGGAGTTGACTCAATGTTTTATCACACAATGTCAACAATGATGAGCTACTGCTCCTGACGCAATTGAAAAGATCTTTTCCTGTGGAACCTTCACGTCATGACGGTAAAACATTCGGGTCACGTCCGCATGAACTTTAAGTGTGCTTTTATTCTCAGCCAGCAACTCTTGCAAAATTTCGCTCCCAACAGGTACCCACATGTCCACAGTTTCACCAAAAGTAGTCTTTCCCATTAAGCTGACCAGTAAGGTTTTTATAATGGCGGGGGTTTCACCATAAAGTGGGCCAATGAGGATAGTATTGTTAGAATCGCGCTTTATGACGCCGTAACCGAGAATTTCATCTGCCTTGCTCATAGCAACCAAGGTTATGGTCGATTCCCCCTCAATCCACACTCTTAGAAACCTTTCACGTTCAATAGTGTGTATTTTGGTGTCATATTGAATCAGGGCATCAAATTGCACACCTTGTGAAGGAAAAGTAGATACAAAACAATCTTCTGACAACTTTATCTTTTCTGTCGCGATGGTACCGGATACATGGCGTACTTTCCATGATTCCACTGTAAAACCTGATCTTTTGTTGGGCTCCACTCTTTCTGCCACGGAGAATATGCCAAGGTTCCTATCCCCAATGTACTCTTCTACCTTCTGCCGCAACCTTGTACCTATTTGATCAAAACTAACGAAAGTTAAAAAAAAACAAAAAACATTGTCTATATTTAATTTTTAAGGGGATTGGTTTCAGTTTTCAAAAGTAGGGTAGTTTTAGATGAGTCTCCATTAGTGGTACATGGCTCACTTTAATTTGTTTTACTTCTTTTCTGTAAAATTCAAATCAGATGGCACGTTTATCGTACATATGTAAAAAGTGCAAAAATATGTGTCAGACCAATTAATAACGTTATAAAATAGCGTTGATCAAATATCTCTGCTCCCGATATATGTACATACTGCTTCAACGACTGTCACATCTCTACGACACATTATAATGAAGTATCTGAATAGTTTGAGGACGAGCGATTCGACACAGAAACTCCTGTAATGCATTCTTTCTCCCCACCCCTCCCCCGAAATCTAGCATTCGTAGGCCTACTCAACCATCACAATCACATTACAGATGCTTTCTTACCAATACCCAGTCCACGATGCTGCTTGCAGACGATCCACATTCCTCCAAACGCTTCCTCTTCACTCAGGTTAAAGCCCATTGCAACACCTGTAAACCATAAGAGATCACTCTGCATTTTTAAAATTATTAACATCATTATTAAAATAAAGGCCAGTGTAATCCAATTTTTCATTTCATACATTATTCAAAAGGAAATAAAACTTAGGCGTGGTTTTAAAAACATGGCGGCGGAAAGCAATAGGTGTCAGTTTTTTTTTTACCTATAACTTTCCCCTGCAGCTCAGCAATAAACGAACCTTCTGGGCTGTATTCAAAGAGAGCCCTAATAACATCCTGGCTGTAATTCCATAACTCCTTCTCTGCCAAACGGGTTACTTCAGCCAAATTTTCAGGCTGCATAAGTCTTATCGTAGCCGTCGACATGGTGGGATTTTTGTTCCTTGTACCTTAAGTGTGGCAATGGTACTTAGATCTAACGAAATGCGTAAAACTAATATGTATGCAGTGGTTGTCTATACATGTACTGGCAAAATTCGGTCGTAAATGGGCCATTTAACATTAAAGTTACTGTCTAGGTCTTGTCGGGTCAGGTCACGTGTAGGTTAGGTCAGTTTTAACGACTGTCACCTATCTCTCAGTAGACATTAATAACGCATCTCAAAGTGGCAGTGACATATTTGTCGGAATTCCTTTCAGACAGGTCATACGTTTAAACTGTTGACTGGATGCAGAAACTTACTTACCAATACACTGCCCACGCCATGGCTTACTGACTACCCACATTCTTCTTCACTCAGGTTAAACCCAATTACCACAACGGAAAAACCACAATAGGGCATTCCACAATGGATATCACAAATCTTTTCATAACTTTTCTCCAAAATCTGCCTTGGGCGTAGTTTTTGTAACATTATCTACTTAATTGTTTTTTGTGAATGTCATTAAAGGTCAGAAAGCTCCATAAGTGGCATTCTTTAAATGACCCTGGTCACCTACAGAATTCACATGATGACAGTTTCAGACATTGTTAGAACAAACACGTGTTCCTGATACTTCGTAATGTACATGTACCGTACGCATTGTTGTTGCCCCTCTCTTGAATAGAGTCCGGCACGTTGGACTCAGTAAAGAGCCATCTTAGACATGTTATTACATTGCGTCAAAAGTGTTTACAACACATAGGCAACAGTGACGATCCGTGGCAGTTTTTACGTTGTTAACTGTTAGCATGGTACTCACTGGTATTCCAACACCTTCCATGGACTGGAGTGCTTCTAATCATCCTGAACAGTGGAAAAAATTCCACAGTCTCGTGGAACTCATTTTAATGGGCCACTAAAGGAAAATGAAGAGAAAGTGAATGTGACTTACTTCTTGTTATGGATAGGAGACAAAGGGAGAGAAATAAACTCAACTTGGACATATCTGGACCAACCAGACAAGCTGCAATCTTATTATGAACGTTTTCAAGCACATGTGCAGCCAAAACTGAATCCCATATTCGCGCGGTTCAAGTTTGAAACTCAACAATAAAACTCAATTTCTTATGCGTTTGCGGACACTTCCTGTGCATACGCAAATGCAGAAGAGATGATCCGAGGGATTGTATTTGGTACTTCATCAGAGAAAGTGAGGGAAAAGCTCATAAATGATGGTGACAAGCTGACACTCGACAAGGCCGTGCAGATAGCTCAGTGGTACGAGTATTTAGTGGAACAACTAAGGACAATGGGGAAAGAGGTCAGCAGCATTAAGAAACACCCTCCACGTACAGGCAACTGGAGACATGTGAACAGACAGAGGATACTGCGAAAAAACAGGACAAACATGAGTGTGACAATTGTGGCTACGAGACTGATAAATGTCCGGCTAAGGGTAAACATTGTTATAACTGTAAGAAATTCAATCACTTTGCTAAGAAAAATGCCGCAAAAGGATTTCTAAAAACATGTTAACGAGTTGCAAACTTTGCCAGATCGGCCCGATTCCGATTCTGATTCAGATTCACAATTTATTGTAGATAGTATTGACACATCAGAGGGCTTAGATCAAGCATTTTGCCATGCAGAAATGGGTCCAGCAAAGACCAGTATTAAGTTTAAGATTGACACAGGTTCTCAAGTGAATATTTTACCCAAGCACGTGTTTGACTCAGTAGGTCATGTAGCCGACCTGAAATCTCCTGGTCAGAAGCTTACTGCTTATAATGGTCACTGCTTACAAAATTGTGAGACAATGTGTCTGCAAGTGATATCTAGGTACATGGTTTGTAATTCACCTCAAGATCATATTGCTGTAACTGTAGCAGCATTTATCTAGCTGTATTCAAGGGCTTCTTTAATATAGATATCAAAGGCTTGTGGTCTGTCTCCACAACTATCTTACGGCTATAAACATACTGATGAAATCTTTTGCACCCGAAAACTATACCAAACATCTCCTTTTCTATCTGGGCATAGTTGATTTCTGAAGCATTCAGAGCTTTGAACGCACATGCTATGGGTTTTCCTTCCTGCAATAGTGCAGCACCTAGACCATACTTAGAGACATCAGTCTGTAGAGTATAATTGCCCCTCTGAGATTATAGAATGCTGGAATCACAGGGATGAATTATCTTATATTGATGGCCTACTACTCAAAGGACAAAAGGTTATTGTACATGTACCCCAGAGACTAAGGGTGAAAATGCTGCACTCTATACACACAGGTCACAAAGAAATAGAGAAATGACTAAACCGAGCCACATCAGCATTTTTTTGGACAGGCATGTCAGATGACATTAGTGATTTTGTTTGTAAGTGCCCCATTTATCTCATGCAGAGAAATAACAACCCTAAGCAACCTTTGCAGCCTCACCCCATCCCTAAATACCCCTGGCAAACACTGACTTGTTTACAGGAGATGGAAAGGATTTTATAGTTTTAGTTTTTATAGTTGTATAGTTGTAGATAAATATTATAGTTGATAGTTAGAGGTAGCTCAACTTACCTCTCCTCAAAGTCATCAGGTAATCAGCAAGTTAAAGATTAAAAGATAATGTTTGCAAGATCTGGAATACCACAAATTGTCATTTCAAACAATAGTCCTCAGTACGCCTCTCTGGAGTTCACTGATTTCTCTAAGCATATGGCTGAGAAATATGTCCAAATTGTAAAGAGACTGTTTGAATAGTCAAAGTCTGATAAATCTGATCCTAATTTGGCTTTATTGGAATACAGGGTATCCCCCTTGACATCATATACTCCCCAACGCAGTTATTACAAGGACAACAGTTGCGTTCTGTTTCACCTGTCATCACTCAACAGTTGTGTCCCCAGTTCATTGATCCTAAAAATTTCAATGATCATATGATAGATTCGAGTCATCAAAAGCAGAAGAAATGTTATGACCATGGTTCCCGACCCCTTCCCCTTGTAAATGTAGATGACTCAGTCAGATGTCAGCGAAATGACAAATTATGGAAAACTGTCACTGATAAGGTGAATAAAAAGTCGTTTGTTTTACAAGCTCCTAATGGTGGTATATTTCGACGTAACAGGCGTCATATTCTCAAAAGAAAAGAGCCCAATGATCCTCATGACACTGACCTGCCAGTGCCTATTTGCACTGAGAATCTGGTAAATAAATCCAGTGATCTTAAAAATATAGTAGATCACCCAGAGCCTACTGTAAATGCCATAGTTACATGTAAGTCCTCGGTTAAAGTAAAATCAACCCCCGCTGTCACTGATCACATGATGGCTACGTCACATCTCATGGGATTCCTCAGTGTTGTTGATTTGGTAGAACTAAAGTGTATATGTAAAATTGCAGTTTTCGTCTTTTTGCAGACAGAATTAAGTTCATCAACAAGATTTAAGGAATTGCAAAATGGATCATTCCACGATAATTGATTGATGGCTGGATCAGGTCAAAGGCGCTAACATTTTGTGTAATATACTACCGCTAAGATGTTGTCACACCTTCCAAAATTCTCATTTGTTTTAAAAAGTGACTTTTCATTATCCTGAGATAGAATAATTAATTAAATGATACACATGCAAAAGTAACAATCAACATAGGCATATCACACCTGTGCTGATTTATTAAATTTTTCTCAACATGACACAACAAATTGGTTTCTTCAGTGTACAGACCCTATGTAAAAAAATTTCTTATAACGTTTTATACGGGATTGATTAATTTTAAAAATGTACACATTTTTATTTGATAAAACACCTTTACAACATGTACCCATATTGAAGTAGTTCACGTAAAAACGGGTCAAATACCGTGCCCATAAAGAACATTTACATTATTTAAAATGTAGTTATCTGTTGTGAGATGTTGATACAAACTTGTTTCAGGAATTAAAATGAACAACATTTTACAATATTTAAAATGTAGTCATTTATTGTGAGATATTGGTAGAAACTTGTTAGGTTTTATGTTAGTTTTAGCAACAATACTTCCCAGTACGTCCTTCATGTACACTCAAACAAATTTGATATTGTATTTTGAAATTATTCTAATTCCTAATATCAATATCTTTTAACCCAGTTGTTAATTTTTGTTACAATTTTAATGATATATTTTAAGTTGTTGTTTTAATTTTTCATTTTGGTTCTAAGTTGTATAAAAAAACTCTTACTCATTTACCCATTTTTCATCTCAACTCATTTCTCCCCTTATTTAAATCGTATTTGTTATTTCACATGGCATCACTAAAAGTTGACTGAATGTTTTATCACTGAATGTCAACAATGATGAGCTACTGCTGCTGACGCAATTGCAAAGATCTTTTCCTGTGGAGCCTTCACGTCATGATGGTAAAACATTCGGGTCACGTCCGCATGAACTTTAAGTGTGCTTTTATTTTCAGTCAGTAATTCTTGCAAAATCTCGCTCCCAACAGGTGCCCACATGTCCACAGTTTCACCAAAAGTAGTCTTGCCGATTAAGCTGACCAGTAAGGTTTTCATAATGGCGGGAGTTTCACCATAAAGTGGGCCAAGAAGGGTGGTATTGTTAGAATCACGCTTAATGGCGCCGTAACCGACGATTTCACCTGCCTTGCTCATAGCAAACAAGGTTATGGTCGATTCTCCTTCAATCCAAACTTTTAGAAACCTTTCACGTTCAATGGTGTGTATTTTGGTGTCATATTGAAGCAGGGCATCGAACTGCACGCCATGTGAAGGAAACGTAGATACTTTACAATCTTCTGACAACTTGATCTTTTCTGTTGCGATGGTACCAGATATATGGCGCACTTTCCATGATTCCACTGTAAAACCTAATCTTTTGTTCGGCACCACTCTTTCTGCCACAGAGAATATGCCAAGGTTTCTATCCCCAATGTACTCTTCCATCTTCTGCCACAACCTTGTACCTATTCGATCAAAACTGACGAAAGTTAAACAAAAAACATTGTCTATATTTAA